TGCACGAGAGGGCAGAGTTGCTAGGTGAGGGGGCAGCAGATGTGTGAAGGACCGAGGATGGCAGGAAAGGCCTGGAGGCATTTTTGCCTTCTGAGCTTCCGGGGGTTTTGTTTGCCTTTGCTTTTAAGGATGGCTGCCGTGGTTTGAGGTTGAGTGGATCTGGCTTTTCCATGGTGGCTCCCCTCTTCCCTCTGTCTCTTGCTGCCTCTGTATATGTATCTGATCCCATGCATTTGTCTCTATTTATACCTGTGTGTGTCTCTGTCTTTCTCATTGTTTCTGTGTAGGTCTCTCTCTGTGATTCTCTCTCCGTAGGTGGGAGTAAGGGGGAGGTCCTGCTGCCTGCAGGTCTCCTTCTGTTTTTCTCTCAGTGTGAGCAAGGCCTGTCTGTCTGCATTCCCATTCCCTCTCTGTGTCTGTCTCTGTTTCTATTTCTGTCTGTCCCTCTCTGCCCCTCACCCTCATCTGCCCTTCTGTGTGAGTCTCCTTTCTTCAGATATTTTGGTTCTTTCCCACCCACCCCTCTCAAAATAGCTGTACTCCAGGAGAACTCTGGGTTTTTGTTCTCTCTTCTCTTTGCTACTCCCCAGACCAGCTGTCTGACCCAGGGACGCTTGCAGTCTGGAGGCTCAGTTGCCGGAATGACAGTGCCTGATATCCTGGTGCTCAGCTCCTTTTCTTCAGAAGGAAAGCATCCACGTCTATGTCTGTCTGTGAATCTGCTCTTCATTCTAAAACCCTAAAGAAAGTTACAAAAGGGAGCGCCTGGGTGGCTCAGTCAGTTAAGCGTCTGCCTTCAGCTCAGGTCCTAGGATCGAGCCCCACGTGGGGCTCCCTGCTCAGCGGGGAGTCTGCTTCTCCCTCTCCTGCTGCCCCTCCCCACCCTGCTGCTCATGCTCTCTCTCTCAAATAAATAAAATCTTTTTTTTTTTTTTAAGAAAGTTACAGAAGGCTCTGTTCTACCTCAGGGCACAAGTCTCTCTAAAGACCAGCCTACAGTCTTCACACCAACCTCCCTATCTCCCTGCTCTCTGATTCCTTGGAGGGCAGGTGGAAGTAGCTGGAATGGATTTGGGCTTCCACTCCTTGCTTCTGTCCTCACTTACTGTGTGACCCTGGGGAAACACGTGGACCTCTCTGAGCCTCGGAGCCTGACAGCGCATCCCTCCCACAGCCAAATAACACCTCCACACCCGCCATCTGGCACAGTGCTGGTGCGAGCAGGCCTTCAAGTGACATCAGCTTCTCTGGACCAGAGCAGCCAGAATGCATTCCTTCCTTCCTTCATACATTCATTCATTCAACAGCCTGGCAAGAGACACCCACCCATAGCTAGAAAGCACGGGCTGATTCCAAAGGCGCCATAAGCCTTAGTCACTAAGAACTCCAGATCATTGTTACCCAGAGACCTTGGGCAGGGATGAGCAGTATGATCTGAGGGACAGCAGGAGCCCCTACAGAGTGAACTTCCTATAAGATACGGTGTCGTGGGCCACGTTTAGGCCTTTGAAAAATCACCCAGTGAAGTCCAGGTGCAAAAAAAGTGGCACTAAGTACCTGTTGTTTTTAAACATTCCTCCCTTTGTTTGATAAAGAGTCTCCAAGAGAGGCCGAAACCAGTATGGTGACGATCAGTACCCTGCCTTTGGGCTGCAGACATGGGAAGGAGAATATAAGCTTTTCTTAGACCTATTATCTTTTTACTTTAGATTCTCACGTTCCGTAGTCCATTCGTAATCCACTTGTGAAAACAGGCTTACATCCTACATGTCTTTGTACTCCAGGCTTTGTCCAGGGTTGGCATGTGGGAGGTTTTAAGGATGCTAGGTGGGTGAGTGGGTCGGTAGGTGGGTGGGTGGATGGATGGATGGATGGGTGGATGGAAGTATGGATGGATAGAGTTGCATGAGTGTTTAAAGGGACATGATTCCCCTGGGCGTGCCCTTCTCATATAATCACCAAGAAAGCCCAGTGTATTTGTGATTGGTTTGAAGAGAAGAGAGGGTGGTTAGGATAACCCTCTCTGGTGGCTGCCCAGTCTGTCTTCAATCAGAGCCAAGATGATAATTATCGCCAGGATTGCAGCTACTGATTGAACAGCCAAGGAGCCTAAGATGCTGGGATCCATCGCGAGCACTTGAAGAGATGGGCTCAAGAGCTTTGGGCTAAACTTTCTGAGATCTCCTCTGTCCCTGCAGGCAGATTGCTCACTCCTTCCCCACCCTCCCAGGGCAACTGAACACACTTCTGTTCTAAAACAATTGACCATTGTCTTCTGTTTTCCCCATTTGGCTGAGAGCTTCTCAAAGGCAAGGATTTTTTCCCCAAATTTTATTTTTCTAGTACCTAGCACAGTACTTGGCATGTAGTATAGGCTAAGTTAATATTGCGTGGATCAATGAGTTGATAGATGGTTGGAAGAGTGGGGGCATGGATGATTTGCTTTGAGGATGATGGGTAAGCGGATGGGTGGATGGTTTTAAAGGTGATGAGTGGATGGATGGATGGATGGATGGATGAATGGTTGGTTGGTTTTCTGGATGATAAGCTTTTGAATGCTGTGCTGGATGGGTAGCTGAATGGTTTGCTGGATGGGTGGTTGGATTTGGATGGATGGGTGGTTGGATTCCAATGGAGAGGTGGTTGGATTTGGATGGACGGATGGATGAGAAGATGTGATCTTATTGGCCACCTAGAGTCAGCCTCCCACATGATACAGGGATCCTCCCTGTGATGCCTGTGATAGCCCTCGAATGCGTGCCTACCTACCTACCAGCTAATTTACAGGGTATTTCATTAAGCAGAATTATTATCAAGTTTTCCAAAGTCTAGGTATGGTAACGTAGTATATATTAGTGTTTAAGGGCATTGGGTCTGGAAACAGACCTGGGTTTGAATCGCAGCTGAACCAATGAAAGCAGTTTGACCTTGAACAAACAAATCCCTTGGCCTTTCTAAGCTATGGTTTCCTCATTAGCAAAATGGGGATAATAGCACTATCCTGCAGGGCTGGTGAGAGGATTGAGTGCAATGATGGATGGCAAGGGCTGGTCAGTGCTCAATAGAATGTATTGTTACTATTACGGTACCAAACCAATATGTACCCCTCCTATAATTTTTTTTTCACCAAGAACCAGATGTGTGCCAGATACTGGTACAGCCTTGTATGTTCGATGACAAACAAGGCTGAAATAGCCCCCCATCTCTTGGAGTTGATGTTTTTGTGGGGTGTTCAGACAATTAACAAGTAAACAGATGCGCAACTTCAGATGGCATTAAATGCTATGCAGAAAATCAAGCTAAGGTGAGGTAGAAGAGAGCGATGTGGCTGGTGGAGGCAGGTGGCTTTTTACTGAGCTGTGAACTGATGACAGGAGGATACAGCCATGCAGAGATCTAGGTAGCAGGAATAGTCAGTGAGAAGGTCCTGAGGCAGAAACAAACTTGCTCAAGCAAAAGAAAGAAGGCCAGGTGGCAGGGTAGATAGGAGGGCAATCGGGGTGCAGAGGTCTTTAGGAGGCAGGTCATGCAGGCCACAGAGGCTATGCCATGTGATTTGGACATCAGCCATGTTAGTTTCATCCTGTCGTCTGGAACAGCCTAGAAGGAGCCTTGTTCATTTGGAGGCTGTTTAAATTTCCGGTGACAGGCTTCTGATCTCCTGGCGTCCAGACTAAGCACTGCCAGTTCTCTGTTTTCCAAGTTGACATCCTGGGACACCTGCAGCTACAACCCTGACAACATTCTTAGAACCCAGAAGAAATCAGGTTTGACCCAAAGGAAATCAGGCTGAAGAGAGGCAGGAGATCTCTAGTCAAAACTGTAATGAACTAAGCCAATAATAAGCTCTGTACCCACCCCCCTTGAAACCCTGCCCTGCGAGTGTTTGCAAGGGGAAGGAGGAGAAAAGGAGTCTTTAAGGCTACTTCTAGGATAAAAGACATCTGGAACCAGGGGGATGCAGGTGGGTCTGATATAGGAACTTGGTTTTCAAAGAAAACTGCGAGATGATGGTGGCTGATCTCCAGCTGGGCCGATGGAGTAACTCACACGGTGCCGTTAGGATCCCATCCCTTGGTGCCATTAGGATCCTATCCCTTGGCATTGCTTCCTCTCTGTTCGCTTTCCTCCCAGGTGATCTTCCTCCATGTGGGGATAGAAGAGCTCTTAGAATCTTTCAGTTTCATGTATACCAGAAAGGGAACCTCTCATTGAGTTATTCCAACAAAAGTCTAGAATTCTGTCTTCTGGGCTAATTAGTTTGGTTGGGTCACACGTCCGCCTCCGAACCATACAGACTGTTGCCAGGGAGATGAAACATTCTGAGTGGCCAGGCCTTGAGCTCTGTGACCTTCCCTGTCACTGATGATGGAGGGAGACCCTCCCCATCCATAGAGACTGAGAATGGAGGAGGGGGATGATGCCCCCCAAAATACTGGATGATAACGTTTTCATTATGCTAGAGGAGTAAGCTCTAGAGATCTTCTGTACAACATCATGCTTCTAATCAACAATACTGTACTGTGAACTTAAAAATTTAAGAGGGTAGGTGTCATCTGTTCTTTCCACAATGTTTACAAAAAAAGGATGCTATTCGGAGGAGAAGGGAGAGGGCAGGCAAAACCAGCTCGTATATATCTTCTGTTTCCCGGCTGAGAATTAACTGCTCCTTCCCCTACAGTTCAGAGATACCTCGCATTTCCTCCTGCCTTGTTCAGTGGCTTAATACGTGTACTTAGGTCTCCCGTCAGCTTTTTAAAGCTCCTCGGGGGTGGGAACCCCTGCCTTTAAGCACCTCAGAGTCCCCCACACATGTACCAGGACAGCGTAAGGGTCCAGGACAAGCTTGCTTAAGCTGGATTAGGTTTCAGGGCCCCATAGGACAACTATGCCCTTCAGAGAGTCCCCAAGATGAAGCATCAGAGAAACTCCCCGTCCTCCCCCTACAAAGAACCTGGGATCCTCACCCCACCCGTGTGGTCTCTTGGGTTTTCCCCCAGGCAAATCCAACAAGAACGTGCAGTGGGATGAGGACTCGGTGGAATACATGCTGGCCAACCCAGTCCGAATCGCCTTCGTCCTGGTGGTCCACGGCCGTGCCTCTCGGCAGCTGCAGCGCATGTTCAAGGCCATTTACCACAAAGACCACTTCTACTACATCCACGTGGACAAGGTGAGGACCCCTCCCGCCCTGGTCGCCCCTTGCTGGCTTTCTCCGCCGGTCTGTCTGCTCTTCCCCAAGCTGGCCTCCCTTTCAGGCAGGGCTTGTAGGCTGATCAGCGGCCTCTCCTTGTAGCACACGTTTCTCGTAAAGGGCCAAATGGCAAATACTTTAGGCTCTTGCAGGTATATGCTCCTGCCACAGCAACTCCGCTCTGCCACTGGAGGGTGGAAGGAGCCCTGAGAAATACAGAAATGAGTCTGCATGGCTGTGTACCAATAAAACTTTATTTACAAAACCCTGCAGCAGGCTTCCTGACCCCTGAGCTGTCTTGGCCCAGAGGTTTCTGTTGGTCTGCTGACCTGACATGATGATGGCATTCGTCAAGAAGTCAAAAGGGGATGCCTGTTCACAGCAGGCCTGTGAAGGAGAGGGCAGTGGAGAAATGCCACCTCTCAAAATGCTCACCAGGTTTAGACCCAGTCAAACTTCCTAGCTTGTCATCCTCAGACCACATGCCTCAGTCTTGTATAAAAATGCAGAGTCCTGGGCACCGGCCCATGCCTAGTGAGCCGTGAGCTCAGAGGTGGGGCCTGGGAGTCTGCATTTCAAATAGCTAAAGTAAATTTTCAAAAATAGTAAGGTTTTGGAGAACAATGTAGAAGGACACCCCAGGCCTGAGCCAGTGGCTTGGCGAAGTCCGCTCTGTTCAGAAGCCGTGTCACCTAGACGGGAAGGGATAGGGGGTGAGGGGCACGTCCGCCTGTGTTCTGCTGCTGAATGTCACTCCTTCTCTCCCCGGGGGTAAGCGCTCTAATTACCTGCATCGGCAAGTGCTACAGTTCGCCAGACAGTATGGCAACGTTCGCGTCACCCCCTGGAGGATGGCCACCATCTGGGGGGGAGCCAGCCTCCTGTCCACGTACCTGCAGAGCATGCGGGACCTCCTGGAGATGACTGACTGGCCCTGGGACTTCTTCATCAACCTCAGCGCCGCTGACTACCCCATCAGGTAAGGCAGCCTTCCTCCTGCTTTCCTTAGTCCTTTCTGTGAAGTGGTCTGAAAAGGCACTGTGCCTCAGTGAGGTGCCACGGAGCCTGGGATCCACATGGGACCCGAGCACACGGTTTTCCCAGCTGCGTCCACGGGTACCCGAAGAACCGGCAAGACCACTACCCACCTGGAGCTTCCGTTCAAGTGGGGTGTGGGGGGACAAAAATAAAGCAGAACGAAGCAGCAGGGAGAATCGTAATTTTAGCAAGAACGGCTGGGGAAGTCCTTCCCAAGAAGAACAGGAGGAGGAGTGAGTCCCTGGGACCGGGAAAGTGAGTGGTCTAGGCCGAGGGAACAGCCCCTGCGGGGTCCTGAGGTGGGCATGTACCTGCTGTGCTGGGGGGATGAGGGGGCTCAGGGTGGCTAGAACAGAGGAGGTGAGGGGTGGAGTAGTAGGAGGTCAGAGAGAACCCTGGGGTGAGATCATATTGCTTCTAGAATGTGGGAGCCCCTGGCATGTTTGATTCGAGGCAGGACTAGGTCTGACTCTGGTGTCAGAAAGGGGAGCAGAGGGGAGGCAGGGAGGGCCATTATGATGGCCATGGCAGAGTCACGGACACGCATGTTTGGGCTGTTTGAGGCCCTGTGTGGGGGGGGGGTGGCGGCTATCAACTTGTCACAGATGAACGGCTTGCACACATTTTTAAATTGGGAGGTTTCACCTGAAACTATAATGTTGGGAGCTACTCTCCAACCCCTGCCCAGGGCAGGGCGCACCTGCGGGCCCTCGGCTGCAGCTGTGTGGAGCTGGTCCAGTGGTCATCAGCCCCGAGACCCCGAGAAACTCAGATGCCACCAGGAAGGTCCGTCCCTTTGCACAAACACTGATCCAGCGAGCTTGTGCTCGCTAATGCTAGGCCATAAGCAAGGGAAACCCCTCTAAAGATCTTGTGAGGTTAAAAAAAAAAAAAAGGCAAGAAAATGAACTTTATTTGCTGCCAGAAGGCCGTTCTTTGCTTGACTGTGTCTTCCATCCTGATTTACTGGTGGGGCTAAAAAGGAGAAGAGGATGGGGAGCGAAGGGCGGGGCCTTCCTTCCTCTGATGGCCCCGGGGGCATGGGGTGGGGACAGCACTCCCACAGGAGCCAGATGAAGGTGTCTTTAAAAATATATGTGTGTTTTTCAATCACGGCGGTCTTCAAGCAGGCACCTGGGTGCTGACCACAATATAGTGAAGCCCCACGTGCACATCACCTGGTTTCAGCTCGAATCAGGTCGTGGCTAGTGCTGATGTATCTACACTCTCCCCTTCTTCCCTACTGAAGCGCTTCCCAGACATCATGTCGTTGTGTCTGTAAGAATTGCAGTATGCATCCCTTGTAAGCTAACATCTGCATGACTGTCACATCTAAAATACTGTCATTCTCCATGTCCTCAAATATTGAGGCCACACGTCCCCAGGAGTTTGGGTGTTGAATCAGGAACCAAATAAGATCCAGGTAGAGAGAGACGTTCTCTGTTTAAAGCTAGAAATGCTCTGTCTCCTTCACAGTGCGATTCCTGGTGCCCTCCTTCCGTCCTTGGCTTGGTGGCATCACATTGTCTGCTGGGAAGCCCCTGGGCCCTGGAGGGGACCTGGAGAAGGCACAGTCTTTGGTCAGCTTAGGCAGGGTCCACCTGGCACCCTTGAACCTGAGAAAGATGATGGTGGTTAGAAAGATACCTGTTTTTCTTTTGTTCATACGAGAGCAAGGGTAAGCAGATTATGACATGGCTGGCGTATTTTTACTTATTTATTCACTTGTTCAGGTACCCATTCCACAAACATGTGGCAAGCAACTCTTATGCTAGGCCCTATCTGGGCATTTAGTGAGCAAATGTGCCCTAAGCCTTACCTGATAGAGCATGTCCCCTAGTTGGGAAAATGGATTTAAAGGCACCATGCAAGGCGTGAAAGAACTAGAAAGTGAGGGGATGGGGGGACTGGGGGACAGGGTCAGGCGGTCAGAAAGGCCTCCGAATGTGCCAAGTTTGGACCTGAGAACTGAAGGCTAGGAACAGATTGTTGGGCAAATGAGAAAGCGCTCGTTTGCGACTAGGATTTCCCCACCTGGACATTCTGGACATACTGTGCTGGATGAGTCTTTGCTGTGGGGACCGTCCTGTGCATCGCAGGACATTTAGCTGTAGCCCCTGGCCTCAGTCCACTAGATTTGGTCATGCTGGCCCCCCACTTGGGACAACCACAGGTATCCCCAGACGTTGCCCAGTGTCCCCAAGGGGCAAAATCGCTCCCAGTTGAGAACACTTCCTGAGAGAGAGAACAGTCAGGACAAGACATGGGTCAGAGATGACCTTGCTGCATTTGAGAAATTTTAAAAATGGAGGGAGGCAAGGAGGAGAGGCGAGTAGAGAGAAGCACAGGCAGGGATGAGTTAAGACGTTCTCCCTCTTTCTTGACTGAGTTCAAAAACATCCCCAGATGCTGAGCATAACAGCTAATGAGGTAGACGCTTCCTTCAACCCTCAAAGCAAACCTGTTCTCCAGAAGGGCAACCTGGGACCCAACGTCATGTAAGAAATACATGGCAGGGTGAGCATGAGAATCAGTTCTGTGCTGTTCTGAGGCTGGTGTTCTGCTTTCTGCTCGTTCCTTCCTTGGGGAAGTCAGCCAGGCCTAGAGTGGCAAGACGGCTACAAGTGGGACCACTTGGCAATAGGGAATGTCATGAGGGAAGGTCCTTGGAGGTAGGAAGGTCACCTGTGGCCCCGAGTCTGCTCATTCCTCCTCTAGACCTCCAGTGGAGACCCCAGAGATCAGCTCAGCTCAGATCAAAGGGTGGCACTTGGCCAGAGACCTCTTGAGGTCAGGTGGGCATTCCTGTGCCCATGGCCCTCCCCAGGAGACCCCCACCAGGCCTCAAGGCTGCCCCCTAGGGGCCCTGTGTTGATTTGCCACGACCATGGACTCAACCAGCTCAGCTGGGCCAGGATATGGGGATCTTTAGCACTTTGGCATCCAGGAGGGGTGGGTGATGAGAGGCCCAGCAGATGGCTTAGGGTTCGAGTCTGAGTTCTGCCACTTCACTAGCCATATGGCCATCTGCAAGGAAATTCAGTCTTTGTGAAACTGGGCTATGATCATAGAACCTAGCAGAGCGTTGGGCACCTACGAAGTGCTTACTTACCCAAATAAATGTCAACTGTTCGTTCCTGAGCTGCATCCAAGGCTGAAGCTCCTCTCTGTCCGAGGGGCCCAGGAACCCTTTCCTGGACCACGTGCCAAACCTATTTTGGGTTTCAGAGAAGAGAGTCCTGGAATTTTTAGCTTTTTTAGCTTTAATGCTCCAGGTCTCGGTGTGCCTCATTCTGTCTTTCCCTCCCTCTGCCCCCACTGCTGTCATTTCCATGGCCCTCCCGGTTCTTCTGCCCATTTCACTTTGCCAGCCTCGTGGCCAGAGGCACTTTATGCATCAAGCACTGCTGGTTCCTCTTGCTTTTGTTTCTGGGAAGTTGCCCCACGCAAAAACATACGAATTCTGCAGATGAATGGTTTTATCCTGGGCAACTCTGATAGGCTTTCACTTCCCATCTGCCACTCCATCTGGAGCTCCAGAACCACTACTTCTCCCATCCCAGGAAGGATGAGCAAACCTAGGAGCCTCCCCAAAGGGGCAGGAGTGCCCAAGTCAGAAGTTTCCGGGAGGCTCTGAAAATGGAGGGGACTTCCGAGGGCGGAGCCCACCCAACAGGGCTGCTCTGAGCTGTTGTATGATTTGAAATCACCTCTCTGTGCCCCCCGCCCAACTCTCACTGGGGGGAGGCTCCTCAGGACTCACTGATCTTTACTGGCCCCCAGCCTTGTGTAGGCTCTGGACGCAGAGAGCTTGGTGGCAGATTCTGAGCCATCACCCTGGCCGTGAGAACAGGTACACGGCTTTCTGCATCTCAGTTTGTCCACCTGAGAAAGCGACACAATGTTCAGTACCTATTTACTAGGAAGCGTCAACGAGATATTGTATATCAAGGGCTTTAACATAATGCCTGACACATAGAAAGTGCCGGGTAAATACAGGCTGTTGTTATTCTATTGGTGGAATCATGTGGGCTTCGATCGAGTTGCTTTCTTTTCTCCCTTTACTCATGAAAAGACTAGCAAAATATTACCTGAACTCACATCTCTCTTAAAAGTGGGAAAAACAAAGTGAGACAATGAAGACCGAACGTCTCAAGAAAAACAGGATAGAACCAACTTGTTTGTGAACGAGAAGCATGGTCCTGTATTTGGAATATACAAGCTCTGTGTTTAAAGAATCCTTCCTTCTCTGCTGTGACATGACACGCTGGCCCATGTAGGCTCCGGCTGGATGAAAATAGATGTTTTCAAACACTGAGACCCTGCTCGGTCTTGACTCATCAAAGGACATGATGGTTCTGTTGAGTGTATTCTACTTACTAAGTCAGGAAGCTCGCTGGCCGACTTTACTTAGATGGGACGCAAGAAGTGAACAAACCAAAGCATTTCACATACTGCTTGGTTTGAGCTCATAGTAACAGGCCCCTCACTGGCCATCCTTCACTAGGCCAGGTGTCCTGGGTCAAGTCAGATGCACACGGAAGGAGAGCTGAGCATATCCCCGGCCCCTTGGGGCTCACATCCTGTCTGGTGTGCAGGTTCGTGTGCGTAGCAGGGGAAACGTTTTTCCAGCTAAATCTGGGATCTTCATCAGTGCCTCAATGAATATGTATTGAGCATCTACCATGCCCCAGACACTGTGCTAGGCAGCAGGAGAAGCATAGGTAGATCCTGCCCTCATGAGAGTGGTCAAGGGCGCAGACTCAAGCTAGACCACCTGGGCTCAAATCCCAGCTCTTCTGTTTACTAGCTGTATGAATTTGGACTTGAGAAAATCACTTAATGTCTCTGTGCCTCAATCACCTCATCTGTAAAATGGGCATAATAACAGCACCACCCCATACGGTTGCTGAGAGCGTTAAATGAGTTACTGTACGTAAA